GTGCAGAGTTTAGTGCCGAGTGCAGAGGGGATTTCCAACGGCTGGGCGGGCTAGGTGCCGGGTGCAGAGTGTAGTGGGGAGTGCAGAGGTGGGCGTGGCGAAGCTAGATGCTGAGTGCAGATTCTGGTGACGTCAGGCGTGGCGAGGGATGGGCGTGTCCGAGCTCCCGGCGAGGCAACCGGCCCTACACTTGGTACTAGGCTTGAGGGTCTGTCCCTCAAACTGCCGTCAGAAGCTGGCTGTCCTGAGCGCCTGCCTCTCCGGATACAGTGGGGTGGGCAAGGCGGGCGGGGCATGGAGGAGGCCCGTGGCCCTGAAGCTCACTGCGCCTGGCCTACAAAAATCTTAAAAATTAGGCGTGGTGGCAGCGCACGTGCCTGTGGTCCCAGCTACACAGGAGGCTGTGGTAGGAGGACCTCTTGAGCCCAGGAGGTTGAAGTTTCAGTGAGCTGTGATGGCACCACTGCACCCGAGCCTGGGGCGACAGAGTGAAACCGTGTCTCAAAAAAAAAAAAAAAAAAAAAAAAAACTTCTGCTGTTTATTGGAAATTCCCATCTGCGCAGGAGGCTGAGGCAGGAGAATTGCTTGAACCCGGGAGGCGGAGGTTGCGGTGAGCTGAGATCGCGCCACTGCACTCCAGCCTGGGCAGCAGAGCGAGACTGCCTCAAAAAAACAAAAAAACATGAGATTCACAAACACAGACACAACTTCGTGGTGGTCTCCAGACAGCTGCATGGATGCCTTTCCATGCAGTGGAATATTTACCGAATTCTTAAGAGCAGGGCTGGGCCTTAGATGTGTCTTACCATGCCAGACCCAGGGCCCTGCACACAGTAAGTGCTCAATACATGCTTGCGTGTAAATGTGATTCCCAGGTGAGCACTCCATAGCCCCCAGAAAACACCCAAGCACAGTTTTCACTTCCATCCCCCCTCTTCCCAGTGGACTCTACCTCTCAAACTATCAGCCTCTTTTCCTACAATAGGGCCTGGCGGGCCCCTCCTCCAGGTGGGAGAAAGGGCACCAGGCCTCAGGCCTCCTGACTGCCCCTGCCGAGAAAGGTGACTTGAGGTCCGAGGCCCCAAGCAGGTGCGCTGCTCTTCCTCCTGGTGTGGGCCTGGCCGCACCCAGGGTGGTTTGGGACGGAAGGCTCCCTGGCTCTGGGCTGGGGTCCAGGGTGCCTCCTGGAGCTTCTGTGTGACTTCAGGAGAGTCGCACAGCCCCTGTGAGCCTCAGTTTCCCCTTCTGGGACATGGGTCATAGCAGGACACCTTCACAGGGTCTCTGCACTAGAGTCTCAGCCCACAGCCTTGCACACAGTAGGCGCTCACGTTCCCCTTGGGAAGCAAAGGGAAACACCACCAGGCAGACCAGGAGGGGACACCACCGCCTCTCGGGGCTTCCCCCGCAGTAGGGAGCGGTGACCCTTCTCAGACTTCCAGGAAAGAGCAAGAGTGCCTCCGGGTGGCCCCCTCCTGAGACGTTGCTGAGAAACTTCAGCCCCGGGAACTTCCGAGCTGTATTTCCAGGGTTTGCACTTCCATCCGTAGCTTCCCGCCTCGCTCTCTTCTCTCTCTTTCTCTTTTTTTCTGAGACGGAGTCTTGCCCTGTCGCCCAGCCTGGAGTGCAATGGCGCGATCTTGGCTCACTGCAACCTCCGCTTCCCAGGGTCAAGCAATTCTCCTGCCTCAGCCTCCCGAGTAGCTGCGATTACAGGTGCCTGCCACCACGCCTGGCAATTTTTTCTTTTTTTTTGTATTTTTAGTAGAGATGGGGTTTTGCTATGTTGGTCAGGCTGGTCAGGAACTCCAGACCTCAAATGATCCACCCGCCTTGGCCTCCAAAAGTGTTGCGATTATAGGCGTGAGCCACCTCGCCCGGCCTGGTTTTGTTTCGTTTTGTTTTTCTTTTTCTTTTTCTTTTTTTTTTCGGTTTTTTTTTTTTTTTTTTTTTTTTTTTTCAAAGAGAGAGACAAGGTTTCACTCTGTTGCCCAGGCTGGAGGGCAGTGTCACAATCACAACTCACTGCAGCCTCGACCTCCTGGGCTCAAGCCATCCTCCTGCCTCAGCGTCCTGGGTAGCTGGAACCACAAGCGCGCACTTTCATGCCCGCCAATTGCCCAGCTAATTTTTTATTTTTTTGTAGAGATGGAGTCTCGCTATGTTGCCCAGGCTGGTCTCGAACTCGTGAGATCCACTGATCCTCCTACCTCGGCCTCCCCCTCTACATACAGTAGGTGCTCAATAAAGACCAACCAGATGCAGGAGTGGATAACTTTATTGTTGGGGACTTTATTGCTGGGGTGACCCTGACCCGCAGGCCCCTACGCCCTAGGCCAGGACGCTGTTGATCCAGGCCGCATAGCTCGCCACGCGCGTGTAGATCCCGGGCTTCTTGCGGTTGCCGCAAACGCGGGAGCCGGAGGTGACTATGCCCTCGAGCACGCCCCCGCACACCAGCGGGCCCCCGGAATCGCCCTGCGGTGGTGACAGGATGGGCAGTGAGGGGCGGGCCGCGCCCACCCCAGCCCCACACGCCGGACACCCTCACCTGACTGCAGCTCCCGCCCCAACCTGGTCCCAGCTGGTCAATATCCCCGTGCCACGCCCACCACGAAGGCCACGCCCACAAGGCACGCCCTCTAGGCCCGCCGCCAGATCCTGGTCACACCCCCTTTGGCCTCAACCTCACCACGTGGACCCCACCGCAACCCCACTCCATGCCCACCCCTTAGCCCTGCTCTCCCAGACCTTCACTTGCCCCAGATCCCACTTCTTCCCTAACGCGTCTCAGCGGCCACCTGTTGTGCTCAACCCCGCCCACCTCAGGCCACGCCCCTCCCCTGGAGCGCCACCCAATCCTTGTCCCTGGCTACCACGCAAGCCACCACCTGTCCTAGGCCTCGCCCTTCTCAGGGATCCCGCTCCGCAGCAGGCGGGCCGCTTCGGAAGTTCCCGAGCTTTCCACGTGCCGCGCCCCTTCCAAATGCCCCGCCCCTTCCACGTGCCCCGCCCCATCCACGTGCCGCGCCCCTTCCACGTGCCGCGCGCCCTCTATGCCTCCCACCCTTTCTCTGCCACTTGCCGTTTTGTTCGCCCAGCCCCTTCTCCAGGCCCACCCTCTCCACAGGTCCCACCCCTTCATTCAGGCCCCGCCCCTGCAGCCCCACCCCCCTCATCATGCGCCATCCCTATTCCTGGCCTCTCCCCCTTGCGGGCTGCGGTTACTGGGCCCCGCTCCCTCCTCGAGCCCCACCCCTTCCACGGCCCCGCTCCCTCTCCCGTAACCCACGGGCCCTTTCACCTCCCATTCTTTCCTGCCTTTTTTACCAGCCCTGACCCTTCTTCAGCCACCAGCATCCACAGGCCCAACCCCTTATCCAAGCCCCGCCCACACCCTACTAGGCCCCACCTCTTCAGGCCCCACCCACACCCGACCCTAGCCATATGCCCCGCCCTTTTCTCCAGGCCCCGCCCCACACCGCACCCTAGCCATATGCCACGCCCTTTCTCCAGGCCCCACCCACACCCCACCCTAGCCATATGCCCCGCC